TACGTAGCAGGCCCACGGAAGCCACGCAGCCCGTGCCGACGTGCAGCTAGCCCGGCCGCCAACGCCCGCGCGCGCGCGCTTAGTTTTGTCCCGCCACGGCAGAGAAGGAAACGGTCGAGGAGGAAGAGGAAGAGGAAGCAGTGGCATGGCCGCGCAGGAGGCGTCGCAGGCGCTGCGGTGGCGCTACGGCGACGTGGACGACGGCAACTTCTCCGTGCGCGGCGGGCGCGGCGTGCCGCTGCTTGCGACGCTCTTCGCCGTCCTCGTCTTCTTCGTGGGCGTCTGCGTCTACCTCCGCTGGGTGTGCCGCCGGTACAACGCCGACGCGACGCTTCCCATCTCGTTTTCCTACCCCTCCTCGTCGCCGTCGTCCTCCGCTGCGGCGCCCGGCGCCCCCTCCGCGGTGGCTGGCCTCGACGCTGCCGCGATAGCCGGCTTGCCCGTGACGCCATACCGTCGTCCTCCGTCGGCGTCCCCTGGCCGCGAGGACGACGAGACGCAGTGCCCGATATGCCTCGGCGAGTTCGCGGACGGCGAGAGGGTGAAGGCGCTGCCGCGGTGCGGACACTGCTTCCACCCGGAGTGCGTGGACGCGTGGCTGTGCTCGCATCCCAGCTGCCCGCTGTGCCGGGGCTCGCTTCTCGCCGACACCTCCACCGTCAAAACTGTGGACGCGAGCGAAGCTGTCTGATCGACCCTGCCACAGTGCCACTCGCGGCAGCAAGTTCGGAACTGCGCCGCTCAGCGACACTGCGACTGACATTGGAGCCTCGCCGCCAATTTCCATTGCCCTGACCGATGGCTGTTGCACGTGCGTGCCAGTGTTCAGGCATGGTTGATTGGCGGCGACGACGGATCATTTTTGTTGAGTGTTTTTTTGTCTTTGAACGGATCATTTTTGCTTAGTTATTTTCCTTGGTTAATTTGCATATCAGTGAGTTTTTACGGGCGTTTGATATTGCCCACATCAATAATAGTAAAACGAGCTGCATCCTTCCCTACCCCGTTTGCATCATATCTTTTTTTTTTTAAAAGAGATTGCCCCGGCCTCTGCATCAAAAATATGCATACGGCCATCTTATTAACCAAATAAAAGATCCAACAAGTTCCAAAGTCTCCAACTGGAAAAACTGAAAAGATAGCTCACACAGAGCCAAAATGGGCTAGATACACAGACTAGCCAAGAAAAGATGTCACAACCGGCTGGCTAAAGATAGATAGGTAAACTAATTGCCTATCCTATTACATGACGCCATCCAAACCGGTTGATGATATCCCGAGCTACCATCTCCCAACGGACAGATCCAGTAACCAAATGCTCTCTGGCCTCCATCGGAGTGAGTAGCGACCACGAACGGATCACTGTCGTGGCTCGAAAAATAACCTGCAAAAAGTAAATACGTGATACTCCCTCCGTCCGTGAATAAGTGTACTTCTAGCTTTTGTCCTAGGTCAAAGTTTTAGAACTTTGACCAACTTTATAGGAAAAAGTACTAGCATTTATGACACTAAATTAATATCACTAGATCTATTTTGAAATGTACTTTCATAATATATTAATTTGATGTCATATATGTTATTACTATTTTGTATATAGTTGGTCAAAATTACAAAACTTTGATTTAAGACAAAAGCTAGAAGTACACTTATTCGCGGACGGAGGGAGTATTCTGTTAAAAACTAAATCATTTCTGCAATTCCAGATAGTCCACAACAAAGCGCAAACTCCAACACGAATATGTCTCGCTAAGTAGACTCAATTCCATTAAGCCATGTTCCAAATAACGTGTTGACAGAATTCGGTGGAGTAATATTAAACGCAATGTGAACCGTCCGCCAAAGGACTTTGGCCAACGGACAATCAAAAAAGAGGTGTTTAATCGTTTCATCCCGACCACAGAAACTACACCTAGTAGTTTCTGTCCAATTACGCTTTATCAAGTAGTTCTTTGTTAAAATAACTTGTTTATAGACAAACCACATAAACACTTTTATTTTTAAAGAAATCTTGACAGCCCAAACATGCTTGGAGGTAGGAATGGAGCTCGAATTAATAACGTCAATATACATTGATTTAACTGTGAATACTCCAGACCTAGTCAGCTTCCAGCGTAATTCATCGGGTTGTTGAGAAAGCTGAACCTCCATCATTCTCCTAACTAGACGGAGCCATTCTTCCCAACGATTGCCCGCTAGTGACCGTCTGAACTGAATATTAAGGGGGGTAGATTGAAATACCGTTGCAACGAACACCTCACGCCGTTGAACAATACGATATAAAGACGGATATTGAATGGCCAAGGGTGTCTCTCCGAGCCATGTATCCTCCCAGAAACGCGTACTAGCACCGTTGCCAACAATAAACTTTGTCCTGTTAAACAGGGATTGTTTGACTTTCATCAGTCCTTTCCAGAAAGGCGAGTCGGTCGGCCTGACTGCAACCTGGGACAAAGTTTTTGTCTGTAGGTACTTGCTATGAAGGATTTGCGGCCACGTGGCATCAGTCTCTGATGACAGCTTCCACAGCCACTTACTGAGAAGGCATCTGTTCTTAACTTCAAGATTCTCAATACCAAGACCCCCTTGGTCTTTCGGTCTACAGATGATATCCCATTTAGCTAGCTGGTATTTTCTTTTGAGTTCATCACCCTGCCAGAGGAAACGCGATCGATAGAAGTCCAGTCTTTTCCTGACACCAACTGGGACTTTAAAGAACGATAAGAGAAACATAAGCATACTCGTGATCACGGGATTTATCAGAATTAATCGGCCTCCGTATGACATGAGCTTGCCCTTCCAGCAACTCAGTTTCTTCTCGAACCGGTCTTCGATGCACTTCCATTCTCTGTTTGTCAGCTTGTGATGGTGGATTGGTATACCTAGGTAAGAGAAAGGTAAATCCCCCAACTCGCACCCAAACAATTGCCTATAAGCCTCCTGTTCTTCTTTGGCTCTAACAAAGCAGAACAACTCGCTCTTATGAAAGTTAATCTTTAACCCGGTCAATTGTGTTGGGTAACGTAGTAATTTCAAAAAAATTCCTACGCACACGCAAGATCATGGTGATGCATAGCAACGAGAGGGGAGAGTGTGATCTACGTACCCTTATAGACCGACAGCGGAAGTGTTAGCACAACGCAGTTGATGTAGTCGTACGTCTTCACGGACCGACCGATCAAGCACCGAAACTACGGCACCTCTAAGTTTTAGCACACGTTCAGCTCAATGACGATCCCCGGACTCCGATCCAGCAAAGTGTCAGGGAAGAGTTCCATCAGCACGACGGCGTGGTGACGATCTTGATGTTCTACCGCCGCAGGGCTTCGCCTAAGCACCGCTACAATATTATCGACGATTATGGTGGAAGCGGGCACCGCACACGGCTAAGAAAACGATCACGTGGATCAACTTGTGTGTCTAGGGGTGCCCCCTGCCCCCGTATATAAAGGAGCAAGGGGAGGAGGCCGGCCAGCCCTATAGGCGCGCCAAGGAGGAGTCCTCCTCCTAGTAGGAGTAGGACTCCTACTAGGAGGGGGAAGGAAGTGGGGAGGGAGAAGGAAAGGGGGGCGCCGCCCCCCCACCCCCCATCTCCTAGTCCAATTCAGACCAGGGGAGGAGGCGCGCGGCCCACCCTGGCTGCCCTTCTCTCTCTCCACTAACGCCCATATGGCCCATTACTTCTCCCGGGGGGGTTCCGGTAACCCTCCGGTACTCCGGTTTTCTCCGAAATCACCCGGAACACTTCCGGTGTCCGAATATAGCCGTCCAATATATCAATCTTTATGTATCGACCATTTTGAGACTCCTCGTTATGTCCCTGATCACATCCGGGACTCCGAACTAACTTCGGTACATCAAAACTCATAAACTCATAATATAACTGTCATCGAAACCTTAAGCGTGCGGACCCTACGGGCTTTGAGTCTTACTCAATTTCACACCTTATAACACAGTCAAGAACTCTTTCTTTGACTGTTTCATTTTGAACTTACTTCAAAATCTTGTCAAGGTATGTACTCATTGAAAAAACTTATCAAGCGTCTTGATCTATCTCTATAGATCTTGATGCTCAATATGTAAGCAGCTTCACCGAGGTCCTTCTTCGGAAAAACTCCTTTCAAATACTCCTTTATGCTTTGCAGAATAATTCTACATTATTTCCGATCAATAATATGTCATTTACATATACTTATCAGAAATGCTGTAGTGCTCCCACTCACTTTCTTGTAAATACAGGCTTCACCGGAAGTCTGTATAAAACTATATGCTTTGATCAACTTATCAAAGCGTATATTCCAACTCCGAGATGCTTGCACCAGTCCATAGATGGATCGCTGGAGCTTGCATATTTTGTTAACACCTTTAGGATTGACAAAACCTTCTGGTTGCATCATATACAACTCTTCTTTAAGAAATCCATTAAAGATTGCAGTTTTTTTATCCATTTGCCAGATTTTATAAAATGCGGCAATTGTTAATATGATTCGGACAGACTTAAGCATAGATACGAGTGAGAAACTCTCATCGTAGTTAACACCTTGAACTTGTCGAAAACCTTTTGCGACAATTCTAGCTTTGTAGATAGTAACACTACTATCAGCGTCCGTCTTCCTCTTGAAGATCCATTTATTTTCTATGGCTTGCCAATCATCGGGCAAATTCATCAAAGTCCATACTTTGTTCTCATACATGGATCATATCTCAGATTTCATGGCCTCAAACCATTTCGCGGAATCTGGGCTCATCATCGCTTCCTCGTAGTTCGCAAGTTCGTCATGGTCTAGTAACATGACTTCCACAACAGGATTACCGTACCACTCAGGTGCGGATCTCACTCTGGTTTACCTACGAGATTCGGTAGTAACTTGATCTGAAGTTACATGATCATCATCATTAGCTTCCTCACTAATTGGTGTAGTAGTCACAAGAACAGATTTCTGTGATGAACTACTTTCCAATAAGGGAGAAGGTACAATTACCTTATCAAGTTTTCTACTTTCCTCTCACTCACTTCTTTCGAGAGAAACTCCTTCTCTGGAAAGGATCCATTCTCAGCAACAAATATCTTGCCTTCAGATCTGTGATAGAAGGTGTACCCAACATTTTCTTTTTGGGTATCCTATGAAGACGCACTTCTCCAATTTGGGTTTGAGCTTATCTAGATGAAACTTTTTCATATAAGCATCGCAACCCCAAACTTTAAGTAACGACAATATTGGTTTCTTACCAAACTACAGTTAATACGGTGTCGTCTCAACGGATTTTGATGGTGCCCTATTTAACGTGAATGCAGCTGTCTCTAATGCATGACCCCAAGATGATAGTGGTAAATCGGTAAGAAACATCATAGATTGTACTATATCCAATAAAGTACGGTTATGACGTTTGGACACACCATTATGTTGTGGTGTTCCAGGTGGTACGAATTTGTGAAACTATTCCACATTGTTTTAATTGTAGACCAAACTCGTAACTCAAATATTTGTCTGCGTGATCAGATCGTGGAAACCTTATCTTCTTGTCACGATGATTTTTCACTTCACTCTGAAATTCTTTGAACTGTTTAAATGTTTTAGACTTATGTTTCATCAAGTAGATATACCCATATCTACTTAAATCATCTGTGAAGGTCAGAAAATAACGATACCTGCCGTGAGCCTTAACACTCATCGGATCGCATACATCAGTATGTATTATTTTCAATAAGTCAGTTGCTCGCTCCATTGTTCCGGAGAACGGAGTCTTAGTTATCTTGCCCATGAGGCATGGTTCGCAAGCATCAAGTGATTCATAATCAAGTGATTCCAAAAGCCCATCAGCATGGAGTTTCTTCATGCGCTTTACACCAATATGACCTAAACGGCAGTGCCACAAATAAGTTGCACTATCATTTTACAAAAAAATGAAGATAAAAATGTTCACTGTGTCCACGAAATATGTTCAATGTACATTTCACAAATGTTCAACATGTATTCAAATAATTGTTCAACGTGTATTTGAAAAACATTAACATGTATCTGAAAAATTACATGTACAAAAAAACTGAATGCATATTAATAAAAGTCTCACATGTATTTCAAAAATAAAATAAATGAAAAAATATGAAGTAAAAAATAGTAAACCAAAAATTAAAAGCAGATGGAGAAAAACATACAATACTAAAAAGAAAATTCGCGTAAGTGGTACAAAGTATGGGTAGGGATCCATGCGGCCCAATGGAGTTTCATTTCGTATATTTTAAAAAACACAAAGGAAAACAATAGTTTAAAAATGAAAAGAAGTAAAATACTTTCGTGTTTGAAGAAAAAAAACATTAGAAAAATGACCGTTCAATTTTTGAAAGTTTTTTGTGTAAATATTTGTACACTTTTGAAAATCTTTTGTGCATTTATAATTTTGAAAAGTACCATGCATTTAAAAAATATGTTTGTGTTGGCTTAGTAAGTGTTGAAATATTTTAAAATTACATGAATGTTTCAAAAATATTTATTTATTTTCGAAAGTTTTTGGATAATTTTAAAAATTATTCATGTATATATTTAAGATGTTTATATTTTTCTAAAAGGTTAGTGTTATTTACAAATTGTTCAAGGATTTTAAAAATATGTAAGTTGCTAAATGTTCTGGAAATTTTTTTAAAAAAGTTTTTGTAATTTTTAATAGGAAAAACAAAAGATAAAAAGGAAATATAAAAATGAGAAAAACTAGAAGACCATAATATAAATACAAATCAGAGTAGGAAAAAACTTAGAAGAAAATTCTAGATGAGCATGGAAAATAATTGGGAAACAAATTTGCAACTTCATCGAGTGTGGTCAATTGTTTGTTCAAAGAGAGGTCTGCGAAAGAGAGGTAGAAGGTTGAGGTCGCAAATAAATTTTTGTTTTCAGAATAAAAAGGAACACCATGCCAGAAATATAACTTGGATTCTTTTTGAGGCCCAGGAGAACCACTCAAATTGGGCCTTAGCCCGCTAGTAAAATTGTGATAAGAAGCAGCAATTGAAAGGGGGCTAAGGCCCGCTAGGAACACCATGCCAAAAATTGACTTCCAAAAATACTTGTTCCTCCGGAATTCTTGTTCCACCTTTAAAACTTTGTTAACCTATATACTACGTATATGACTAGATAATTACCATGCTTTGAAACGAGATATAAATATTCTATCACGTATGATGATTACCTATCCATATTAATGTGATTGTGTAAATAAATATTCATTAAATTATGCCCGGGATTTACGTACCTAATTTTTTTATTTGATAATTACTCATTTGGTGAGAATTTATTGGCTTACCAAAGAAAGCATAATTTTATTTGTAAGCCGATAAAAGATGGGACATTTAAGATGATTTTCAAAGATAGGGACTAAAAATAAAAAGTAGGGAGAGAAAGGGGGGCATATATAAGGTTAGATGAAGTCTTCTGCCTCACAGAAAAGGGACCTTACATCTTTCTTAAGTACTAGAGAGTAGAGATATATCCCTACCACTAAAGAAAGTTATGTATCTCCACACACAAAATATTCCTATTTATCTATCTGTGTGAACCTGCGAATGCATACTCATATTAGTTTTTTAGTTTCCAACAATGTTCAAATTAACATATGATTCACCAATTTATCGCTTATTGGTAGGTGATCGCTAGTATTTTACCTTATCTTTGATATTTATCATTTGGGTTGATTTATCGCTCTAACAAACGATTAATCAGGAATCTAGCGATTAATAGGGCCGGACCCCTATGGCAAGAAACCTTAAAACAGGCCTCCCCTTTAGTAGCCTCAGGCACATCACACTCCGTCCCCGGTTCGATGGGACATGTGTTGTAGTGTTGTCCTATATTATTTGTTATTGACTTATTATTTGACATGTAATATGTAGTTATGTATTTGATCTAGTGTTATCCTATCTAATGGCTTAGAGCACACTCATGGTTGTTTCCGCTTTTACCTTATTAGTGCTCAGAACCTGAGAATTGTGATGCATTCTTGGAATTTGCCATGCTTCAACAGACATAGTTGTAAGGCTAATAAAAAAGGGGGGAGTTGCCCACATGTTCAGGAATGATCATACTAAAACATGAGATTTTCATGCTACGCAGAGTAGGTACCCTACATAATTCCTCAAGTGTTTGCCTACATCGAGGGGGTGTTATGCTACATAGTGGTTGTACCATTGGGAAGGTGTATGTGAGCAAACTATTGTGTCGTCCCCTGGGAAAGTGTCTGGGAGCGAACAATGTGCCCCACGAAAATTGCTAATTGTCACTGTTTTAAGATTTGCACGCATAATTGGATGCACCATCATGTGTTCATTTCTAGAAAAGTAACATTGTCCGCCACAAGATTGAAACAAGAACGACCGGTGACCTCATTACATCAATTTCCCAATCGGACTAGCATGACTCATTACATCATAATAAGCCTGATTTTTTAACAGGTGTGAAGCCTGATTCTTTCGGTCAATAAAGCTAAGGTAGTAAGAATCGTGATTCTATTACACGATTCTACAACTGTACGATCCAAACTACTTCTGCAATTCTACGATTTTGGTATCCACGTTCCTATCATTCCTATAGTTACGATTCTGCGATTTGTGATCCTACTACTAGAGCTCCATTCCAATACGGAATCATGATTCTGGCTACCTTGGATAGAGCAAACTGCGTATTCGTGCTACCCCGTAATTTTCTTGTTGTGTCTTGTTGATAAAGCAAAAAATAAAGTAATCCACATATCGTTGCTCAGTTACGGAAGGGAACATATGTGCCTGTATCTAAAAACTAAGTTTGGTTACCCGAAACTTAATACATTTTTCAGTTTCTCCAACACTCCAAATCAAACATACATATTCAAAGTGTTTCTTGCCACGCGAAACCAAACAAAAAGTACATAAGTCAGCAGAGATGAACATTCGTATTTAAACAGAAAACCCCAAGTTAGGGGTAAAAACCATGGGTCGAAGCCACCACACAATTATTGTTCCACTATAATTAAATATGGGATACAATAAGTTCCTCTATCTGTAGCACTATAGGTTCTCATATATCAAGGTTACAGTATGTTGGATGGACACAATAAAATTTGGGGGCCAAG